CCTCTCCCGCCGACACCTACTACCCCCCTACCCACTACCCCCACCGCCGCCACCACCATCACCTCCACCTCTCCCGCCGACACCTACTACTACATCATCCCCTCAGTCATGTGCCTCCTCTTCTTCATTTTCTTCTTCTTCAGCCGCCTCATGTTCCTCCTCATCCTCCACCTCGCACGCCTCCCCGTCTTCATTGATCTCATCATCAGCCCATTCATGGTCAGATCAGCCGTCACAAAGGCCTCATCGGCAGAGACGTCCAGTGTCGGATCGATCGTTACAAATGCCTCTTCAGCGGAGGTGTTCCCCGTCTCCGCCGCGGCCTCCAAGACAACGGCCGCGTCTGTCCTGGAAGGCTGGAACACCATGAATATCACACCCCCTGCAGGGGTTAGAGATCTGCTCCGATGACATGCTCGCGACCGTACACAACAACATCATCGCTCTCTTGATATACACTAGCCAGGAGTAGTACATATCAAGTCCGATGCCCGCAATGTAGCGATGATTTCTTCGGTGCTGCAGGCCTGTGTGTGCACCGGACACGAGGTGCAGCTACGTGCGCAGCTTTTGCACGACTAGCAGCCACATTGAACGCAAGTGCGACTGGTCAACCTCCGCTTCCTGCATCTGACCCATCTATTTCTCATCCACCTGACCCTGCATGCTCCCCTGCCTTAAATGAGAATGATCCACCTTCTGATCACCTCAAGGAGCCTCCGGTTCGAGAAAGTATGTGTCTCTACTGCGTGGACTACCCCTGGTGCCATCATCCGCCGCATCCTCTCCTAGCATGTCCCACATGCGGTGCGCTGTTGGTCATACACCTATTGCAACCACCGTCGGAATCCCTTCTTCCTTGCCTGACGAATGAAGGGTAGAGCAGCCTGAGGAGGAAAATAGATTACCATACGAACCACCTACAGAGCGCTGTACGGATAGGTTGTCTCCAGCAGGGCGAGCTGTCGCGGACCAAATCCTGCAGCAGCTGAACGCCCTTGATTTGGATCAATCTCCCCCGTCGTCGTCTAGCAATAGAGGAGGAATAAATACTGAGGAAACCCAAGAAACTTGCTCCATGCCGCTCTGTGATGACCCACCGGAGATTCAGCTGGCATGTGGTTCACTTGCCATATGCCATAAGGATTATGAAAGAATAGCCCGTGCGAGCTTTTGTCTTCGTATGTATGACGACAGTCTATATTGCACTCGTGTACGCCACCCTGACATGTCATGTCCAATTTGTACGCAGCGGCTGGAACGGGCCTCTACAATTGCGGTCGACGTGCCTCTGTGTTCCTAACATGTCGGAGCCACGTAGCCTGTGACATCTGTCTGCGCCGTGCCATTCGATGCAACAACTGTGACTGCGAAAATTGGATGCGGTGCTTCCGTAGCCCACACCCGAACCGGTCCTGCCCGGTCTGTAGAGGTGGCCACTTACCATTACAGGCAACAACTGCTGCTCAACTCAAAATCTTATGCAACCCACACACTGACTGGCCTCATGTGCCATTCTAGAGTGGTCTGCCCAGCGGTCACTATTTAGAACCCTGTCAGAACTCCTCCTCCCTCCGTTTCTGTACTACTAGTAAATGTATACGAATGAGCATCACTACGAGAACAGAAAAATATAAGTTGAAGATCTGGGAAGAAATGAACAGGAATATACCTCCGCATTTGCTTTGCCTCCTTTCATAGTGTGGAATTGCGCCGTTATGGCACACGGGGATGTGGGCAGCTTGCGCTCAAACACAATCAACGTGGTGAGCCTTGTGCACGAGAGGCACGGTAAAGGGGGAGCTGCAGGAACAATTGAAAGGGGTACCTTGAAGAAAGCGAACGTGACCTCATTGAAGACAGGGAGGGGTTCACATGCTTCTATTGTACTTCATGTTGCTTTGCTTGCTGTTTGTCAGATGAAAACTGTTTCATTGCTGGCTGGGTCGTCTGAACTCGAAGGGCTTCCGTTGTCTGTAATAGGGGACTAAATTGAATATGCTTTGACTTTGGATCTGCGCGTCTGGGTGGAATAGGGGCTGTTGTGGTGAAAATTCAAAACACACACACACACACACACACACACGCACACACGCACACACACACACACACACGCACGCACGCACACACACACACACACAATCAGTTTTATGTGTCTTTTCCTCATGTGTTTTGTCTGTCCATTTTCCCCGACTTTCTTTTTTTTCTAAGTGCTTTCTGTGTGCTTGCGTGAGTACCTTTAAGAAGTGCTAAACGGTCGGTGTTGGGGTGTTTGGTGTGCCTGTAACACTATTATATGGGCTGTTCTGTTCCTGGACGTCCGTCGGAGTGACTCCCTGGTGGTGGGAACCAATAATCTGCTGGGTTCACTTGTGATGTGAGTGGGTGATGTGCCACATTGACCCATGTTGGATGTGTGGACTGACATGTCTGCACTCCACTGTGCCTTGCTGCCTGTCTGCTTGCTTCACATGTCATTCTTTGCAGCTGCTGTGTTCACACCACTGGCTCCGTTGTTGGTGTTGCCTTGTGCTTTACTGCCCTGCTGCCTTGCCGCCCATCTGCATGCCTTGCCTTCCGCATTCTTTGCTTGTGTGCCGTGTAGTTTGGCTGCTTTGCCGGTGGTTGCCTTGTGCTTTACTACATTGTTCCCGTGCTCTGCTTGTAGGCTTGCACTGCCGCGCATGCAGTTAGTTGTGGTGTTGTGTGGTTTGGTTGGCCCGGGCCCCGGCAGTGTGGCCAGGGTGGTGCTTTGCTGAGTTTTTGCCTGCTGTCGTGTTCTGCTGTGGACAGTCAGTCTACTTTCAACAAGGGTCGAAGGGTTCATGACCCGAAGTAT